CAACATCCAACAAGTACCTGATTCAGAAGGTTAGATTCAACATCCAACAAGTACCTGATTCAGAAGGTTAGATTCAACATCCAACAAGTACCTGATTCAGAAGGTTAGATTCAACATCCAACAAGTATCCGATTCAGAAGGTTAGATTCAACATCCAACAAGTACCTGATTCAGAAGGCTAGATTCAACATCCAACAAGTACCTGATTCAGAAGGTTAGATTCAACTTCCAACAAGTACCTGATTCAGAAGGTTAGATTCAACATCCCATCCGGAAGCTTCAAGTTGCTGCTCCTCAGCCAAAGTTCATTTTCTTATAGCCCACGTTGATATACTTGAAGCAACGTTTAACCTACAAAACACACTGAGCTCTACAAATACATTTCGATGTAGTATGAGATGAAATTATAAATCTCATAAGTAACCTTTGTGATGATCATGTGGCTGTATAGTACAGGTGCTGTCTTTTGGTTGATTTTTCATTTGTCAGTATCATTATCACTAAACTATGTGGCAAATAGTGTTGAAAAGTACGTCTGATTAGTTATAAAACTGTCGGTTTCTTTTGTCTTCTGTAACGTTTTTGATGTAGATATTTTCAAGTACATACAGTTGATTATAGGACTTCATATCTCTTTTGTTCTTGATAGCTTTGTTGTCATAGATGTTTTTCATTTCTTCATAAAAACCTATGCTTCACCCCGATTTATTTGACCTTTGAACATAGATGATATGGAGGACACTAACAGCAACTTTTTAAACATAAATGTTAATAATTGCTCTTCTTCTAACCTTCTGAATCAGGTACTTGTTGGATGTTGAATCTAACCTTCTTAATCAGGTACTTGTCACTAAGTTGTCGAGAACATTTTTAGGGAAAAATGAAAAGTTAATGAGAACGTATATAGTTTGGATCCTATTACTTAAATTCTTGTTAGAGGCTATTAATATTGTACATTCATACTGACCATTGAAAGTGTGAATTTGTAATGTCTTATATAGTTGTGCCATCACATCGACAATGAAATAAACATACAAACCATCAACATATATATATATATATAAGTAGAAATATTTTTACACGTTTTATAATGTACATGGCTGAGGCCAAAACGAAACACCTAGTGAATTCAAGTTTCTGCTGCCCGAATCACTACTTCAGTTTTGTTCTATAGTAGGGCATGCTGGGAAGTTAGGCTCCATACCTCTGAGACATAAAACATAGCGGTATTTTTCACTTATGATAATCTTCCAACTATTGTTACAGTTCCCGGATGATAATCATCATGCTGTAGTAAACTTCATCTTTGACGATGTTCCTCTCGCAAAACCAAAATTTGAAATTTGGGTCACTAAAGAACTTATTAATCAGATTTCTACAATCTTTGAAAGTCAGTAAGGCATGTTGCTTGACATAATGTGGAATTGAACTTACATACATTTAAATAATAGACAGTTTATTGAAATAACAAATTAATCAGTCAGTTAAGTATATAGTTCATTTAACGTCAGGGAAAAAAATGGGCAAGTATTATTTCAGATCATCTAAAATGTCCAGCACTTATTCTCTTCCATATTTAACTTTTATATTGTTAACAAATCCTAATCCGTTTTGTTAACCTAGATAATAATCATGCTTTATCAAATAGATGTGAGGCTGCTGATTACAATGGTTAACGGCTTGACACTTGAAGAAAAGTAGTTGATACTGTTACGTCTCCGCTTGTTAATTGATTTTTCGTAACTTCGTTTCGACGAAACTTAAGCGACACAAGTCCTTTCTTAATAAAA